TCTGGCTTCTAGAAAGTTTCCTTTTTATTTCCCGTCCTTTTATTTGGGAACTTTTTGTCTCTATAAATCACTCTCTGGAAACTGTGCCTTGGTGACAATTTGCGATGAGCCCTGATACCATCTGGCCACTTTCTGACTTCTGTTATTACTGGAACTCTCCAGGCTGCTTGCTCAGACTATCTATGACTCAGGTTGTCTGGGATCCCTGTGCTGGTAGCAAAAAGAAATAAGAAGGCACAACATTCCAAGAACATGTGTGGGGAAGTAATATCCACTAATGGGGTGGATGAACACAGGGGAAGCATAGCCCTGTGATGGCGTCATAAACAGCTGTTTAAAATCATATTTGGGTAACTTTGATGACATTAGTTGATAAGCCTCTCAACTTATAAAACAGGGCTGATTACATATACTTCTCTGGCCAAAACAGGCTTAAAGAACATCTCGCAAGACCCTAAGACAATTGTTAACTAAACTTTCCATGAATGATACTGTCCCCAAAGGAGGACCAACATGGCGCTGTAGGGCAGAGTGAAGACAGTTGCCTCTGGCCCTCCCTGCTGAGATCGGTGGCTGGAATCCAGGATTACAATGGAATTGCAATTGGTCAACTCAAGCCTTGAGAATCCTGTGTGGCTAGCTTCCACATGGCCTGTGAAACTGCAGATGGTCTCTTCCAGGAAGAGGCTGAAGAGGGAGGGAGAAAGAACTCTACAGAGTCCCAGGGGAGGAAGTGAACTCTTACTTCTTTCTTGCTTAGTTTCCCAGAATTGCCTCTAACTCCCAAGAAATGAGTGTTCTCTACATTTCTTAGGAAATCCAGGCATTTTATTTATTTTGTTTATTTTACCCAATTTTGGTTTGGTTTCATTTGTTTTTTGGTTTTTTTCTTTTTCTTTTTCTTTTTCTTTTTTTTTTTGAGAACAGGGTTTCTTTTTTTAAAGACTTTATTTACTTATTATGTATACAACATTCTGCTTCCATGTATATCTGCACACCAGAAGAGGGCACTAGATCTCATAACAGATGGTTGTGAGCCACCATGTGGCTGTTGGGAATTTAACTCAGGACCTCTGGAAGAACAGTCAGTGCTCTTAACTTCTGAGCCATCTCTCCAGCCCCAAGAACAGGGTTTCTTTGTGTAGCCTTGGCTGTCCTGGAACTAGCTGTATAGACCAGGCTGGCCTCAACCTCACAGAGATCCACCTGCCTCTGCCTCCCAAGTGCTGAGATTAAAGGTGTGCACCACCACTGTCTGGTTCCAAGCATCTTTTCTTAAATGAAAGCTCTATTGAGTATAATTCATATCCCACATAACTCATCCATTTGAAGTATAAAACTCGGTGGTTTTAAAGTATGTTGCAGCCATCAGCCCCATCAATTCTTATTATTTGTGTATCTATTTTTGTTTTGTTGTCTTGTTTTTGAGACAAAGTCTCTCTATGTAGTCCTAGCTGTCCTGGAACTATGTAGACCAAGCTGCCCTCAAACTCACAGTACCAGGATTAAAGGTGTGCACCACCATGCCTACTCTAACAATTTTTAAAAGCTATCCCTAGTCACTTAAGCATGCCCAGCCAAGAGGCATAGACAACCTAGTAGGCTTTCTGCCTTTGTGAATTTGCATATTCAAGACATTAGTGTGCAAATGGGGATCGATTATACTATTCATAAGCCCTTGTGACCGGCTTTCTCACTTAGCATAATGCATTCAAATTCCCCCACATTATAGTATGTGTCAGTACTTCAAAGGTTTTTATTACCAAACAATATCCCATTTTATGAGTATGGTTCTTTAATTTTATTTACTTATATGTTTTATGTATGAGTGCTCTATCTGCATGTATGCTTGCGTGTCAGAAGAGAGTATCAGATCCCATAATAATGATTGTGAGCTGCCTTGTGGTTGCTGGGAATTGAATTCAGGACCTCTGGAAGAGCAGCCAGTGTTCTTAACTGCTGAGCCATCTCACCAGCCCTTATGAGTATGTTTTAGTTGTTCATTTCCCATTGATATACCTTAGATGTCTTTGGAGCTTTAGTGCATTGTCTGTAATGTTACCTGTGTTTGTCACAGTCACTTTCATGAGCCATATATTTGACCTGATTCCTATCCCTAGCTACAACCCAGGGAGACAAGTCTCTTTTTTCCATACTAATGATGAGATGTGGGGGTTAAGTAGCCATCTAAGGTCATACTAATAAGTATCAAGCTGAGATTCCCAGTCCACCCCCTTCATTTGCTCCTCCCTGCCTGGTGCTCTTGCTTCCTCCCAATTGGCAATGAGGCTGGAACAAGGGAAAATCCACTCATTCAATGACCATTCAATCCATGTACTGGCTAGTTTTATGTCAGCTTGACACAGACTAGTCAGCTGAAAGGAGGGAACCACAAATGCCTACATAAGATAAAGCTGTAGGGCATTTTTGTAATTAGTGATTGGTGGAAGAGGGCCTAGCCCATTGTGGGTGGTGCCATCTCTGGGCTGGTGGTCCTAGGTTCTATAAGAAAGCAGGGTGGCATTCCCTATGGAGGAATATCTTGCTCAGGCTAGATACAGTGGGGGAGGGCCTTGGTCCTGCCTCAAGTGATGCAACAAACTTTGTTGATTCCCCATGGAAGGCCTCACCCTCTCTGAGGAGTGGATGGGTGGGGGAAGTGGAAGGAGAGGAGGGAGAGGGAACTGGGATTGGTATGTAAAATAAGATTTTTTTAAAAAAAGCAGGGTGAATAAGTCATAAGGAGTAAACCAGTAAGCAGCACCCCTCTGTGGTTTCTTCATCAGCTCTTGCCTCCCGGTTTCTGCCCTGACTTCCTTCAGCGATGTACTGTGATGTGGAAGTACGAGCGAAATAAACCCTTTTCTCTGCAATTTGCCTTTCGTCGTAGTATTTCATCATAGCGATAGTAGTCCTAACTAAGCCACTCTGTGACCTTTAACTGACACCCTGTATAGAGCAAGCACATGTCAGGTACTCCATCAGGTACAACCAGATACTGCCTACCAAAGTTTGGCTGCCTCAGCCAAGCAGTCTGATGCTGGTCACCAAGAAGGGTGTGACCAAGTGATGGAGACTCTAGGCTGCTAGAAAGCCAAAGGAAGGACTTCTAGAGATATGAACATTATAGATTTCCCAAGTAGAGAAAATTGACAGCCTACACAGAGGAACCAGTGTACACAGACACAGAGACCAGGGGCTTTGGTCCACAGAATGGATTGTGCTCCTCTGAAGGTGGAAAGGGAGGAGGAAAGGTTGAGGTATCAAAAGTCAGGAAGCCTTGACTGCCAGGCTGGAGTCTAGAATTGTCTTGTGAGCCTTTAGATCAGTGGTTCTTAACCTGTGAGTTGTGACCCTTTTGGGGGTCACATATCAGATATCCTGCATATCAGATACTTACATTATAATTCACAACAGTATCAAAATTGCAGTTATGAAGTAGTAACAAAATAATTACCTGGTCGGGGGCCATCACAACACGAGGAACAGTATTAGAGGGTTGCAGTATTAGAAAGGATGAGAACCACTGATCTAGATGCTTCTGAGCCGAGGAACAAGGCTAAAAGCACACCTTAGAACTCTGTTGTCCATCTTTAGACCCAGGTTCCTATACCACTGGGAACCATTCTTTTAGCATCCCAACATAAGACAGAAGAACTGTGTTCTTGAGCATGCCTACACCAAAGACAGCTTCTGTTACATTGTAAAGATACAGTAAACACTTGTTGAAAGACTGCATAGATGGATAAAAGGATGGATGGAAGGATGGACGGATTCGTGGATGGGTGGATGACTCTCTCTTCCTGTTATCCTTTTCTAGCTTCCTCCTTTGCTGGGTAGAATAAAAACAGCTGGGATGGTCTAAATTCTCCCATCTTGCCTCCCTCCATATCTCTACTAGCCCTTCTCCCATCTGGTCCTGAGTAAATAAAGAAGTGGCACTCATTTGCTTCCACTTTCCTTCTCACCATCACTCTCCAGGACTGAAATAATTGACTGCCCCCTGCAGGTGAAAAACTGTGACTCAGTGCTTGTGGGGCTTTCCCAGGTGCTGGTAACAGAACTGAGATTATCCTGAGATCATCTGACTACAACTAGTGCTATAAGTTGGGCACATAGGGTATTGGCTGAGGTTGAAAGGTATGGAGGAGAATGGAAGGGACTCTGAGAGTTCACATCCCAGGATCCAGAAGCTTGCCTCACCCCCCCCCATGTCCTAATTCTGTGTCAAGATGCCATCCTACAGTGTGCAGCAAGACCCCTCCACCTCTGCCCTGCATCCGCTCCCCAAGGATGACACCTCCTCACAAGCACACGCACATGTGCAAGCACATGCTCACACAAACCCAGAGAGGTGGAAGCAATAGTTGCCTTAAATACAGAGACTTTATTGTTGTATAAAACTGTCCTCTAGAAAATATATTTATTTAATGTGTATGGGTGTTTTGTATGTATATATGTCTGTACACAAGCATGCAATGCCCATGGAGGAACTGGAGTTACAGTTTGTGAGTCACCATGAGTTCTAGAAAGCAAACCCAGACCTCTGGAAAAGCAGCCAGTGCTCTGAAGAGCTAAGCCATCTCTCCA